GGCACCCTAATACTTTCGCATTGTTCTCGTATTAATACACTCGAGTGGTACGCAGTACGATGCTTTAATACTCAGCGTACATCAGTTCGCAATGCAGGAGCTAGGGCATTCGCTGCACACTTGTTCGGCGGCAACGCTCGTGCGAAGCGCCAGTAAGCTGCCCCCACCACACCCACCCGCCTAACCCTACTGGACTTTACCTAGGTCTTCGAGTCTGGTCACAGCGCCTCAGAAACACACCGCAACACAGCGTCCGGCCAGGGTACGTGCCTATGCACACTTACTTGTGTGAGGTCCGCAACGTCTTTATCGAACCACAGAACACCTTCTCTTAGCCTTAGGCGCATTCATGACGCGCAGCTCAATCAACAGCGTCGCCTGTTCTTGTGGTTTCTTTTTTAGCGCGCTTTGTCACGCGTATTTTTTTTTGCAACGGGCACGACAGAAATTTCTTCCACGTAACATATGGCGGGTATGCGCTCGTACGCAGCTATCATCACACAGAGCCCATCGCCAAGCAGATTACTGTGATAACGCGATGAATTAGTTTCGCACGGTTTTTTACAAACAAGGAGCTGCTCGGCCTCTGTACAGGCGGCAGGAGAGACCAAGTATTTGGTGGCAGGCGGTGCAAAAGGTCATTATCATGCGAGAACATGCTTGCTAGGGCTACGTGGATTTCTGAGCTACCGCACGCACGCACGCATGCACACACATTCACATTTATTACACAGCACGCACGCACGCACGCACGGACGGATCGCACGCCACGCACGCGCGCGCACACACACACACACACACACACACACACACACACACAGTGACACGCAGGTGCGCATGTCGCTTTATTTACGATTCATATGATAATTTTCGCTTCCAAAATTTAGCTGGCAAAACGACTGTTCGAAACTCAACTGCCCAGAAAACATGGCTAGGTTCATGATTTGGTTCGTGCATGCGGATCGCTTGGTTCGTAGCTCACGTTCCTAAATATTCAAATTTCATGATTAAATATTCATACACATTCAACTTTCATAAACAAACACCAATGGGGGACTTTGTTGTTCGTTCCCAAGTTCGGGAAAAGGTAGCCAGACATTTTGACTCGAAAGGCCTTGCACTAGAATCCGCAGAATTCAGAGGGCCTGTTGTCTAAAACATCATAAACAATTATAAAGCTGCAAATGTCACAACTTTTACATGACACCTAACTTCAACAGTAATGACATTTTGGACTTCTGGTGTCATAAGTTCATAACTACTGCTTCTGATGTCTGACACCATATCCAACTTGATGTTCATACTTTCAGCATAGTCGCCTGTGGTACCGAGTAGATACCAGAACATTAATACTATTGTAAGTGCGAGTAAATGCTCCAGATATTTCACGATAGGTATAATTTCGATGCGTACTGGCCGCAACAGCGCTATATAATACATATGATAAACACAATGCTTCCTTCTAAAGCTGATTAGGTGGTATTAGAACGCGTGGTATTCAGCTAGCTCAGCGAGCAGAGAGAAGGGTCACCTGAGCTGCCAAGGACATTACTGGTGGCTTTTGTCTGCTGTAAACCGCAATTACATCTACTGACAAGTGATTGCATACACTTTAGCGCTTGGTGGGGAAATAGGCGTGCAAATGAGCTGAACTCAAACCACCCACTGCATTTACCATATAGCCGAGCTGTCTGTTGTCACACAGATCTCAATGGTAGGGTCACAAACGTGTAGAGATTTACATGCTTCAGACAGATATATATATATACATTTTCATGTTTAGATGCCACCATCTCCGTGCAACAGCAGACAGAAATACTAAACACATACGCACGCACGCACGCATGCAAGCACGCACGCACGCACACGTATGGCGTACGGTGAATTCAGCCGCGTA